GATTGCACAATGCAGTCATTAAAAACAGCGAAGTTGCCTGGCGTGGTGATGCATTCCTGTAATCTCAGCCTTCAGGGCCAAGGCAGGAGGATCTCTGTGAGTTCCGGGCAACCCTGACTCCATAATGAGTTCCAGGTCAGCTGTCTTTAGAGTATGAGACCCTGTCTCCAGACACCGAGAATAGTGTAAGCACATGGCAAGACAGAGCCATGTTTACTGACTTAGAAAGAGTATGAAAATACACTAAGGGGGAAAAGCCAGTTAAAGAAATTTTAGGGCCCTGAAAATATTTCAGTTGGTAAAGTGCTTGCCTAACAGGATTTGATCTGCAACACCCCACAAACTGGGTGGGGTACATGCCAGTCATTATGTCATTCTCCAGCCAACTCCATGTCACCCTTTGCTTAAGGCAGAGTCTCACACAGCCCAGTGTGTAGTCTAGGCTGGTCTTCAACTCCTGATCCTCCTGCTTCCAGTTTCCAAGTCTTGGGATTACAGGCATATGCTATTGTACCCTTATCATAAACTCTTTACCTTCCAGACTCCAAACTGCTCTGCAGGACCTGGCAGGAGTCCTTTATGCGTAACTCTTGTCTTGGAAATCTGCAGAAGTTAAAGCCCCAAATGTGAAATCAACCTTGACCCAAACCAGACACAGATGCAGGGGAGCTGCTGTGACTGTCCATCCCAACCCTATCCCAGACAGGTAGTACTGCACCAATTATATATATATGTGTGTGTGTGTGTGTGTGTATGCATGGGTGCTTGGTTTATATGAACATCTGTGTACCACATGTGTGTACCACCTGTGAGACCAGAAGAAGGCATCAGAAATGGAGTTACAGACCATTGTAAGCTGCCATGTGGGTGCTGGGAATTGAACTCAAGTCCTCCGCAGGATCAGCCAGTACTTTTACCTCCTGTGCCAGCCATCTTTCCAGACCCTCACTACATCAATTGCAATGTGTTCTCAGGACCCAGCTCATCTGAGTCCTTGTGACCTGCAGCCATGTTGATGTTATGTTACTCTTCTTTTGCACGGGAGAAAGAAACCAAGGCCTTGGGAGACTCGGCCACCTCTGCATCTCACAGGCACAGCGTAGCAAGCTCAGGCTGGGACTCCAGTCTTGCTTGCTTCACTCAGATTCAATTCCTTTGCCAGACTCAGCCTGGGCCAGAGACAGGCCCAGCAGATCTAGGGTGTGCCTTGGGCTAATTCGCTGTACCCCAGTTTCTTGTCCTCTTGAATGGAGACGAACTTCCCAGAACTCCTTATGGGATGGGCGGAGACTGAAGCAGAGACAACACAGTGAGCATCTCCCGGCCCTCCCTGCTACTTTCCATTGTTCTTGCACACAGCAGGCGCTCACTGGGTGCTGACTGTGTCTTTTAGTTGGCACTAATCCCGACCCAGCACTTCTAGCATCCAAGTGGCGTGATGAGTTGGGTGAGGGTGGATTAAGGAACTCATGAGGATCACTCAATAATCAGCTAAACCGCTTAAGCCGCCTGGGAAGCGGCTGCGATCAAGCTGCTCATTAATTTATTCAGCAGTGACGGTTGAGCGCTCAGCTGAGCTGGAAGGGTGACAACCACGATGGAGGCGCTGGCACATTCGATTGCTCTTCTGTTGTTCTCTAATAAGGAAGGTGACACTCGGGGACCAAGGGGCAGCAGATGAGACATGCGGAGCATAACTGTATGCAGACATTGTTATGACCCTGGAGTTCACGGGGGACACTGTGGGATGCCACTTAAAGTCCCCTTCCATGCAACTGCTGCCTTCACAGGCAAGTGGTAGCCTTTTCTTGAAGCTTCTTCTGACATGGGGCTTATCTACAAAGGGCTGCCCTAACTCAGGGCCATGCCGAGTCCAGTCACCCCACACTCCACTATTGATGAGGACAGAAGTGTGTTGGTCTAACTTGGGTCAACTTTGAAGGGCCGTTCTAGCTTCAGAGCTCTGCCCAGGGCTGGCTGGAGCTATTGTGTACCTTCTGCTCCACTGGGCTTCCTCCCCTTCCTTGTTTAGCGCAGATCCTGAAGACAATAATCTCTTGCAAACAGAACACCTTCTCAGAGACTGCTTCCCGAAGGACTCAGCTTACAACAGTCTTACATCTGTACTGACCATTTGCTAGGGGGCTAAAACAGCCTCCCCCAAGGCTCTAGGATAGAGGTGTCCCCCAAAGTCAGGATTTAAGGATAAGAGCATTAGACACAAGGTCCATCTTCCTAAACACTTCATCTACTTCCATTTTTCACGTGCATGTATGTGTTTGTATGTATCTGCCATATGTGAGGGCACCTGCAGAGGCCAGTAGAGCTGGAGGTAGGTAGTTTGTGAGCCTCCTGATGTGGGTGCTGGGAACTCTGAAAAGAAGCAAACACTCTTAACTACTGAGCCACCATTCTAGTCCTTTTTGTCTTTTTGAGACAGGGTCTCACGTATTCCAGGCTGGCCTAAACCTCAATCTGTAGCCATGGATGACCCTGAACTCTTTACATTCACCTCCCAAGTGCAGGGGTTACTGGAGTGTGATACCTTCGACACCTTCAAAGCTTGCACCAAACTTCACAGCAGCTCTATGGCGGTTATGCTATTAGTTAGGACCCCATTTACAGAGAGGCTCTATTTGTAGACAAACACAAGACATCGTTGATAAAAGATAAATAAAAATAAAGTATGTTGGTACAGGGTAATGGGAGAAGAAAAAGGCGATGATGCTGATGAAGAAGAGGAAGAGGAAGAAGGAAAGATGAAAGGAAGCTTTGTCTGTGCCGTGACTGAGCTCCCGGACTCTAGAAAGATTGAATTTAAAGACACGGTCTAAACAGAAGAGCAAGATCCTCAGGACGGAGGGGCAGTAGGCTGCTTTAGGAGGCAGACTCCTGGGAAGAGGTGACAGATACCACAGAAGGCTGTGTACTTATGCAAAGACTAATATTCAAAGGGTGAGGGGACTTTGTGGCCAGGCAGCCCCTGAGACTGTTCCTGAACTGGTGACAGGGTCGTGAGACCTCAAGTCCATTGCTCTTTCCCCGTTAGCACCCAGGGCTAGGACCCGGACCCGGTGTGCTATCCTAGCTTTACCGTCTTTGAACATCTGTGTGCTAACCAGTTTGTCAGTGGTCCCTCTTGGGAAGACAGCAGGCTTTTCGGTTGTTTTTGTTTGTTTCTGTTTTTGTTTTGGTCCTGAGAATTAAACCCAGGTCTTTGTCCATGCTAGACAGGTCCTCTATCATAAAACTGTGTCTAGTACCCCCTACCCTGTGTTTTTCCTTTTGAGACTGGGATCTTACTAGGTAGCCCAGGCTAGTCTAGAACTCACTCTGTAGTGCCAGCTGATTCCTAGTGCAGTGTCCTCCGTGCTGGATTACAGCTGTGAGCCAGCATGTGTGCCTTGCTGTGGTGTCATTGTCGTCCCTTCTCCTTGGGAGGCATTGAGAGTTTACCACCTGCTTATTGACTCATTCCTGAATGGGCTTCTCACTTACACAGAGAGGGTTATGGCCTTATAAAGTAGTAGGGTAAGGTTTTCAGCCTCTTTTGACTGGTGGAAAAACCAAGACCTAGAGAAAAGGCAATCAAGGAAGTACACATCCCAGGGCCAAACCTTCCTGTTCCAATTCGATTCCTTGGTTTCTGTCTTGGTCCCGGGTCCTAGGCAATGCTACAACAAACCCAAACCACTCTGAGCTCAAAGGTGAGGCCAGTCCTGGCCAGAATCTCTTCCTTTTTCTCTCCATCTGTCCTAGAAGGCTCTGGGATCTAAGAGCAGACCATCATTCATCTGCCAGACACTGTCACCCACTCTTCGCTGGTGTTGCTGGTTTCAGAGCTGGTGTCCACACGGTATACCCTGGGATAACTCACAGCTGCTGAAGTCATAAGCACAAGCACTTGGCACTAGAGCCAAGACCAACCATTCGGAGACAGAAGGGTTCAGTAGCATTACTCTCAGGTCCCTGGAATTTACTGTCTCCTAGAGAACACCCCACTGCCTGGCCCTGGCCCTATGGGAAGCATGCCTGACCAGGCCTCTTCCTCCTGGCCTTCAGCCTAATCTCCAGCCTTTCTCCCACATAGCCGGGGAACTTTTCAGAGTCAACAGCAGAGGGTGCACTGGAGATCTGGACTGGAAAGCTCGGGCTAGCACCCCACACCCTGACCTGTGGAATGAGGACTGAGCTGGCCACATAAAGTTGTCGAGAAACCATTAGCTCTTCCCTGTCTGTTCTAGACTCTGCTGGCCTTTCCCATAGATTCCTTGCACTGGTATGTGGCCCTCCCTTTATTCAAGGTCTTGTCCTGTTCCTTAAGACATTTGCCATTTCACAGGGTTCATCACATCAAACGTCACTCACTCTCTGAAACTGAAATGACCTCCACCAGCTGAACTTATTCCATCTGTTTTCTGGAGAACTCTCTTCTGCGTTCCAAGAAGGAGCTGTGCCCAGGTCTGTCCCCGACCGTGGGCACCAGCTTTCAGAATAACAGTCTCTACAGTTTACTGAGTTAACTCAGAGTGTGACAGTGTGCTATAGTCGCCACGCTGACGAAGTCCATGTAAGGCTCTGGGTTCAATCCCTGCCCCCGTCCCCCATGATAGTAAGACCAAGACCAAGTCCACCCCCTCCAAGGAAATGGGAAGGGGCAGTGTCCTGACAAGAGAGCGAGTCTCTGTCGAAAGCTAGAGGAGCCTGGATCTCCAGGTGCCCTCCAGTCCCTGGAGCCGCAGCAGCTGGGAAGTCCAGTGGGTTAAGCGGTCAGCGGGCCTGGCGGGGCCCGGGCCTCTCAGGTTATGACATGACAATTGCACAACTCGCAAGCCATTTTCAAAAGAAACCATGGAGTTTCCTGTCCTTTGGGCTGCGGGTGTGTGTGTGTGGGGGGGGGGGGGTCATGGCCTCCATCCCACTCTGAGCTAACAGCCTCGGGCTTTTGTAAGTTACTCGTGCTTGCGAGTGGAGATGAAAAGGAAGTTGAAACTCAAAACTGTAAAGCAACCCACTTTTATTTTGATTTTAGAGGCTACTGAGAAGCATTGCTCCACTCAGCAAGGGTTAGGTGTAAAATCTTCCCTCCCCCAGGCTGAAGGCCCAGGGAAGGTGGGGGTTCAGGGAGATGGCTCTAGAGACCCAATCCAGTTAGTGGGCAGCACAAGGTCAGGCAGAAGCCTGAAATGGCTCAGATTAGGGAGAGGGGTCGGGGAAAAAGGGCACAGAATTCAAGGACGTGGAATCCAAAGACTGGTCAGTCCCCTCCTTTTGACCTCTGAGATTTGGGGGAGAGAAGCAAGACCCAACTGTCACCAGGCAGGAGGCAGGGCCTCGAGGCAAGGCAGGCAGCCCTGGCTGGAGCCGTCTGGGCGAGTAAACCCGGCGCCTCTACCCTCACGGAGGGTGCGTGCGGACCGGGTCACCGCTCGCAGAGTCCCGCGTGTCTCGGCGGTCGCTCTCAGCAGCTCACCGAGCCGGCGGGTGGCGCCGACCCCAGATCCGACAAGCAGTCGAACTCGCTCTGGCCCAGGAAGAGCTCGGGCAGTTCGCGCACGCGGTGCAGCCCGAGCTCGAGCTCCAGCGACTTCAGCGCCTCCTCGTCTATGAGCTCTGCGTCCATGCAGCCCAGGGAAGGCGGCGGCGGCAGCGGGGACGCGCCTCCGGGCGCCGGCTGCAGGGGTGAGGGGCCTCCGGTGACTCCCGGGGGTGCAGGGATGCGACCCGGGGGCGGCGTGGAGGCGGGCTGCAGGTGCGCGCTACCGGCGCCTGGCGACTGCGCGACTGGGAAGGGCTGGAAGGAGGACGGCGATCCAAAGGAGCCGTATGCCAGGGTCCCGGGTGGCGGCGGCGGTCCCAGCGGAGCTCCCCGCGGCCGCAGACCGCTGTCCAGGCCGGGGCTTGAGTATGGCTGTAGAGTCCGGGGCGCGTGGGCGCCGTGGGCGTGCGGCGACACCTGCAGCAAGCAGTAGCCCTCGGCGAGCATCAGGTGGTCGGCCATGGCAGCGGGCGGACGGTCAGTGCGCGCCCCGGGTCCCGGCCAGCGGCTCCTCTTGGACGGGAGTCCGGAACACCGTGTAGTCTCTGCAACTCAGCCAGGCAAAAGAAGACCGAATCGGATTCGTCCACTCTCACCTGGGTCTTCCGGATCTCCTCTCTCCTTCACTGTCCCGCCGCGGCGGTAGCAGGCGGCGATAGAACCAGACACCCTAAGGTCTAGGTCCGCCGACCTGCGTACCGCACCTCAGAACCGGCGATTTCTTATACCGAGAGGCGGGGTCGCCACGCCCCCTGTCTGTCATTGGCTGGATGAAGGCCTCGGCCCCGCCCCTACAGGAGCTACGCTCTTTGGGCCTCCAGCGGAGTCCCAGGTTGCCCGTGTTTTTGGTTGTGGGGAGTGGTTGAAATTTCTCTGGTGCTGGGTCAGACCTTCGAGGTTCAGGCTACCAGGGGATGTGGGTGTAGCTTAAATTTGCCAGAAAATGAAGTGGGAAGACAAGTTCCTGGAGCCACAGGATCTTGGGGTTCACTCAACTTAATTTTCCAGACTGAGGCTCAGACATGGAAGATTTCCTGGAAACACACAGTAATGCCTTCAGGGTTCAAACCCAGGCCTTTTGCACTTCAGCGAAGCAGGGTTGTTCGGAGAGGTCAGCAATCTGTCCCCACAATCCCCAGGGAGCCGGTTGCTCCTTCTCTGGCTCTCGTTTTGCTCTGTCTGTTGAAGCATGTCCCGAGTTGTTATTACAGTAATTTATGGGCATGCCTCCTGAAGGACTTGTTCATCTTCTCACCCTCAGCACTTGGCCCACAGCCTGGTCCAGAGCTGGCTTTCTGTAAAAGAGGAATGAGTGAGCGAATGATGGCGTGAATTGCAGCTCATTCACCAGGCTGCGGCTTCTTCCTCTGTAGGATGCTGGCAAGAGCGGCAGAGACCACACGCACTTAGGGCGCGGATTAGCTGTGTGTTTACGGAGCCCTCCGTAGTGCCTGGCACATACATATGCAAATGTTCCTCAACTGAGAGGCTGGCTGTGTGGTTATCTCTAAAGATCTTCCGGCAGGGGATTTTCACACCTTCTTCGGATTACAATAATCCTAACTTGGATTTCTAGAGAGCTTTACATTCTACAAGCATCTTTCTGGAAGCAAGGTATGAACTTTAGCCCTCTTTTGCAGATAAGGACACTAAGGCACCCAAAGTAAAAGTGGCTGTGCAGGAGTCCTAAGCAATTTTTTAAAAAGCGTATAGTCTTATTCAAGCCACACTCTTTGAGCCACAGGCAGGCCAGGAGACAGGTTCCTTGAACCCTGACTTCCACACTTCGGTTTTTTTCCTCTCATGGCTCCCCTCCCCCTGCAGCAGCCTCTGGACTTCCTGGAACTTTGGTTTATCTGACTGGTGTAGAGGGGAGAAGCTTAGCCAAGAAGTTCAGAGGGGCCCAAGTTCTAATCATAGCTCTGCCACCAGCAGGCGTGTGACCCTTGACTGATGGGTGGGGGTGGCGGATGTCCAGGGATTTCACAGGGCCTCCGCTTTCTGCTGTGAAAGACAGCTGGTGGTCCTGGCTGGAGTGCCCAAAGAATGTGGGAAGCTCACGAATCTTCCCCCTTTCCCAGCCTGGTGTAATGAACCCCCCCGGGCTATCTTTTTCTCTCTGAATAAGGCTCCACACAGAGATTCCTAGCCCTGACTGGACTTCTGTCTCATCTGGAGGTGTGCGTGGTTAGAGAGCCCTAACCTTCTGACTCTGTCGCCGAAGAGTTCATTTGTTTGCTATTTATTTATTTTAGACAAGGACTCGCTATGCAACCCAGGGCCTTGACATTGCTCTTGTGCCTCTGCCTCCCTCGTGCTTCAACTGTGGGTGGTTTTGAATCATGAGACTATCTTTGAAAAAATCATCCTGACATAGTTGGTCTAAGGACACTGGCGCATCACAAGACAGTTTCCCTTAACAAAGAAGAGTGTGTGAATTAATCCTTTAGAGAGTTCTTTAACTTGGGGCTGGAGAAACGGCTCAGCACTGAGGAGAGCTTGCTGATCTTCCGGATGATCTGAGGTCACTTCCCACTGTCCACACCGGGGAGTGCACAGCTAATTCCAGCTCTAGATCACCCAACGCCCTCCTTTCACTTTTGTGGGTCCCCATCATACACACACAAATTCCAAAGAAGTCTTCTTTAAAGTTCTTTAATTTGGTAAACAAATATCAAATGTTTACACTATATCGGACATTAATATATAAGACCCTATATCAGACATTAATCAATTTGTAACTTTCAAACTTTCAAGATCAGGAAAATTTCTGAGAATCTGGTGGAAGCTGCAGACATTGTGGCCCCAATCTAACTGCATGTGTATTTGGTGCGTCAAATGATGGAGCTGGGGGGGCATAACAACTCATTAGGGAAGTGCTGGCTATGCAAACTTGGAGGCTTGAGCTTGGATTCCCAGCACCCACAGAAAAAGCTGAGAGTAGTGTCATGCGTTGGGGAAGCATGGCGCAATAAAGGTGGAGTGAGGAGGACCTTGGAGCTTGCTGGCCAGCCAGACTAGGCCAATCCGGAAACTCCAGGTTCAAGGAGAGACCCTGACTCAAAAAGCAAGGTGGGCCAGTGACCAAGTCTGACAACCTGAGCTCAATCCCTGGGACTCATGTGATAGAAGGAGGAAATCAACTTCCAAAAGTTGTTCTTTGACCTTCTGCTACACACCATGATACATATGCACACACATAGGTAAATAAATGCATATAAAAAATAAAGTGGAGAATGTAGGAGACACCAGACTTTACCCTCTGACTTCTACATGCATCGTACACACATGAGCACACACTTAAACACAGATGCACATATACAGCACATCCATGCACGCAAACATATTAGATACTTGGAGACATACAGTAAACAACAAAATAAGTTAAATGGAAAGTAATGGGTGGCATGGGAATAGAGAGAACTAAGGAGAACAGGGTGCAGGAGAGGAGCTGCAGGTTGCAGATTCTAGGGGAGTCAGCAGGAGAGAGGCTAAGCCTCACTGAGACTGTGAGGTTGGAGCAGAGGTGGAAGAGTCCGGAATGGCTCGTGGCTGTAATCCTGTCCCACGGAAGGTCAGCATGGACTGTAGTGTCTCAATAAAACTAGAGAGGAAATGAAGAAAAAAAAGAAAAGAGGAGCCAGGCGGTGGTGGCGAACCCCTTTAATCCCAGCACTTGGGAGGCAGAGGCAGGCGGATCTCTGTGAGTTCGAGACCAGCCTGGTCTACAAGAGCTAGTTCCAGGACAGGCTCCAAAACCACAGAGAAACCCTGTCTCGAAAAACAAAACAAAAAAAAAAAAAAAAAAAGAAAGAAAGAAAGAAAAGAGGAAAGGCCATGTGGTGTCTGGAGAGGAGCTACCAAATAGCCATGGTGATGTCAAGTTATAGATTTTACAGCATTTTGGATTTGTGTATGTTAGTGTTTGTGTATGTATGTTTGTGAGTATGTATGTGTGTGAGTGTGTGTGTGTGTGTGTGTGTGTGTGTGTGTGTAGGCCAGAGGTGGATGTTTAGTATCTTCTTCAATTGCTTTTTTCCTTATTTTGAGACAGGTTTTCTCAATGAACTTGGAGCTCTCTGATTGTGCTAGACTGACTGGTCAATGAGCCCCAGGAAGTGCACCTCCTAGTCTCTGTCTCCCCAGCTCTGGGATTACAGGCTTGTACCATCACCCTCAGCATTTTTTCTGTGAGAATCTGAAGTCTTGGGTCACTATGTCTGCATGCCTGGTGCCCTTGGAGGTCAGCAAAGAGCTCCAGACCCCTGGATCTGAAGTTAAAGATGACATTTGTGAAGCACCATATAGGTGCTGGGAATTGAACCTAGATCCTCTGCAAGAGCAATACAATCTCTTAACCCCTGGGCAATTTCTCCAGTCTGAACTTTTAAAATTTTAAATAAAGATGCTCAAGTCTATGCAAAAAGCCCAAAATTCAATAAACTTCAAGATCTGAAGCGTTTCTGATCCCAAGCATGTTAGATAGTCAACCTGTGCTACCATTTCACAGAGGAGGAAAGAGAATCGACCACCGACATTACTCAGCTATTGATGGAGGAGGGAGTGCGGTGTCCCCTCCCCACCCTGTTGTCTCCCAGGGCCACTCTCTTTCCCTTTGTTGCCAGCACACCTGTAGATCTGATTTCACAGTTCTGTGGCTTGCTGTCTTAGTTAGAGTTTCTATTGCTGTGAAGAGACACCATGATTGTGACAACTCTTATAAGGAAACATTTGATTGGGGCTGGCTTATAGTTTCAGAGATTCAATCCATTATTGTTGTGACAGTTTGAATGTAATTGGGCCCCAAAAGCTCTTAGGGAATGGATCTATTGAGAGGTATGGCTTTGTTGGAGTAAATATGACCTTGTTGGAGGAAGTGTGTTGTTATATGTGTGTGGGGGGAGGTGAGGGGTGCTTTGAGGTCTCATATGCTCAAGATACACCCAGTGTCTCAGTTCACTTCCTGTTGCCTACACAAGATGTAGGACTCTCAGCTACCTTTCCAGCATCGTGTCTGCCAGCACGGCACATGGTGTCCCATCATCCCATCATGATGATAATTGACTGGGCCTCTGCTCTGTAAGCCATCAGTTAAATGTTTTCCTTTATAAGAGTTGCCATTGAAAGACCCCCAGTGTGGGGAGACTCTCACTCAAGTCTCAGGATAACATGACCCCCCCAGTAACTCATGAGAGACTGTCCTTGCTGTGATCACATGAAGTTTTAATCGATGAGACGGGAACCAGTGCACTGGGGCCGAGACTCATAACCCACGCAGGGGAAGAGTTTGACCCCAAGTGACCAAGAGAAGGGGTTTTTATAGGAAGAAACCACAACCCAGTAATCCGAAAGGGGCAGGGAGGGTGTCACAGAAAATCACAAGGGGGCAACTCCCTGCCTCTCAAGATCACTCAAGGTCGTAATCAGCTAGTTCCTGAAACACAGTATTCCAAAAATACCAATGATAAACACAAGGGGGAAACTCCCTGTTTCTCAAGATTATTCTCAAGATTACAATCTAACTTCTTCAGCTTCTAACAATCTTCAGCTAGTTCCTGAAACACAGTCACTGAACCGGCTAATCCTAGATTTCTGATTCTTCTCTTCCTGCTGGGGGGTGGGGAAAACCTGGATTTATCCAGGGCTTTCTTTGGGGATACCTGGATTTATCCGGGTCTTTCA